AGAAGTGGAGGAGGAGGAAGAGGAGGACTGTGGGGCCCTTGGTGCTCTCTGAGCTTGGTGGTTTTCTTGACGTTTCATTACCAAACTAGGTAACCTCATCAGTGCTATAATTTCCATAGTTTCAACTGGGAAACTGTGCGTATTCTAGACCAAGCCATGTCCCGAAAAGTTAAAAAAAATTCTTAGACACACTCAGACATATCAGCCATCAGCAGGCGCATAGAGATAAAGAACGTCTACATACCCTCCTTGCAGACGTTTCATGACCCAACTAGGTAACAACATCAGTGCTAACACTGTTTATATTTGTTTTCTAAGCATCTCGCTTTTCTTCAACGGGTGGATCTCTAAAAATGTCTCCCACTTCCACTGTTAACCTTTTAGATTCTCCAGAAAGCCCCGGAAGAGATTCCTAAATCTCCCATTAACGTAATCCAATTGGTTTTGGATTCGAAGCATGTTACGGCTGACCTGCTTGCAGAAACCACTTCAAAGGTAAGTAGATCTTCCCAATCCCCAAATGGGGCAAGACTCATTTAACAACGGTCTCACTTAGTAACAGACTTGTTGCTTCCATTTCTGAGTTCATCGTCCTTTTCCTAGATGAGAGCCAAGCTTTCTGACCTGCTGACCATCTACGTAGGCCCTTTGTCCAAAAACGTTTGTCTGAAGACCGTGAAAAAAGCCTTTAGGAAATGTGGCCACATTCAGACGATCCGGGTCATTCCAGAAACAGTTAAGGCAAGTAGTCAAGCCATTTTGCTGTCCTGGACAGTGGGCAGGGCAAATCCATGGGGTGTGTGTGGAAAACTGGGCTGTTGAATTTCTCCGTTCACCCTCCGATCTCTGGCCCATCTTCAGTTTCCTAAAACAGGAACTTGACTTGAACTGGTCATTTTGATGGAACAACAGAAGGAACTCGCTGGTCAGCCAGCAGGATTTGGGACAAGGAGATGATGGTGCTGTGCTTGGAAAGTGTACAGAAGCTTTAATTGGTTCAAAACTGGGGTGTCCCGCATGGTTTTGTGCAAGCCTAGATTTGCACAGGTGTCATGTCTCATGCGGAAGCTTCATTGCTTGCCAATTTGCTTCCGGGTCCAGTTCAAGGTGCTGGTTGTCACCTTCAAAGCCGTACATGGCTTGGAACCAGGTTAACTGAAGGACCGTCTCTTCCATCTAGCACAGGGGTAGGCAACCTCGGCTCTTTTAAGACTCATGGACTTCAACTCCCAGAATTCCTGACCCAGTGTGGCTCAGCTTGGAAACCTCTCCCTTTCCACTCAGCATAGCTGACAGGAATTCTGGGAGTTGAAGTCCATGAGTCATAAAAGAGCCGAGGTTGCCTACCCCTGATTAGCAGAACCAAGAAGAAGGGCCTTCTCCACAGTGGCTCCTTCTCTGTGGAACATCATCCCTTCAGAGATAAGATTGGCCACTACTTTGATGCGCGTTTGAAGGCGCGTTTTTGCCAATGGACCTGGGGACCCCAGAGTGGGATGGATCCCATCAAGGGGTTCACGGGGTGGGGGTGGGGGTGATTGCTTTTTTATAATTCTTAAATTGGGCTTCTATCCTTGTAAGCTGCCTGGAGTCACTGAGAATGAGTTGGGCAGCCATTCATTATTGGTAGGGAAGGAAGGAAGGAAGGAAGGAAGGAAGGAAGGAAGGAAGGAAGGAAGGAAGGAAGGAAGGAAGGAAGGAAGGAAGGAAGGAAGGAAGGATGGATCTGAGAATTGGGAAGCACCAAACCCTTCATTTAACTGCTGGCACCCCTTTTTGTCTCTACCAAAGCCCCACCTCTGTATTCAATATGAAGTCTTGGAAGGTGCACAGCTGGCTTTGGAAGAGCTGAACGGAGCAGAAATAGGAGGATCTGCCCTCCAGGTAGGCTCACCTTTAAATTCCAGGATGGGAGAGAGAACAGGTGCCTGGCGTCTGTCGAAACGTTAGGCCCTTCATTTCTCTCTTTAAAGCCCCTTCACTCTGGTTGAGATCGGATTTTCCCAACTCCACAGTTCAAGCCCCAACTACACTCTTGTGTGGGTAAACTGTGGTTTATCCAAAGAACACAGAGGGTGGAACAAGGCCAAGGGCCCATCCTGCCCAATGCAGCCGGAAGATTCTCTGGTATAGGCAAACCAGACTGGCCAAATTCTTGTCCTGTATTTTGGCTTCGTCTAAGATCCAAAGGCCCGTAACCGAGAGGACCCTGGATGGTGAGATGCTGGTGCAGGAGCTGGAGAGGGATCCTGAAAACGAAGGCATGGTTTACTTGGCCGGGGTGAGGAAAGGTCAAGATGAGACGGAGCTGCGAGAACAGCTGGGCCCTTTGAAAGGCTTACGGTCCATTTTTTGGCCAAGAGGTCTCCAGACCGGAAGACGGAGGAATTACTGCTTTTTGAGTAAGTGTGGCCATAAATGAGGGCTGCTCTCCAAAACAGTATTGCTGCAGGAGATAATTATCTGTGGATGAAGATTCTAAAGTTCTCCTTTCTAGTTTTTCCTCTTTTTTTTTCTCTTCTGGCTCTTAAAAGCCTTTCCCGTTTGACAGCCACGGCTCTCAGGGGTAATCCTTGACCCCACACAACGCATTTTATGGCCTTTTTTATGTTGGTCGAAGGGAAGGAAAGGAAAGGAAAGGAGGTTAATGGATAAGGGAGGGAAGGAGAAAGGAAGGACGAAAAGGAAGGAAGGAAGGAAGGAAGGAAGGAAAGGAGGGAGGGAGGGAGGGAGGGAGGGAGGAAATAAAGGAAAGGTGAATAGCTAAGAAGGAAGGAAGGAAGGAAGGAGAGGAAGGAAAAAAGGAAAGGAAGGGGAAAGAAAGGAAAGGAGGTTAATGGATAAGGGAGGGAAGGAGAAAGGAAGGACGAAAAGGAAGGAAGGAAGGAAGGAAAGGAGGGAGGGAGGGAGGAAAGAAAGGAAAGGTGAATGGCTAAGAGGGAAGAAAGGAAGGAAGGAAGGAGAGGAAGGGAAAAAGGAAAGTTAGGGGAAGGAAAGGAAAGGTGAATGGATAAGGGAGGGAAGGAGAAAGGAAGGACAAAAAGGAAGGAAGGAAGGAAAGAAAGGAAAGGTGAATGGCTAAGAGGGAAGGAAGGAAGGAGAGGAAGGGAAAAAGGAAAGGAAGGGGAAGGAAAGGAGGTGAATGGATAGGGAAGGGAGGGAGGGAGAAAGGAAGGACGAAAGGTAAGGAAAGGAAGGAAAGGAGGTAGGTAGGTAGGGAGAAAAGAAAGGAAAGGTGAATGGCTAAGAGAAGGAAGGAAGGAAGGAGAGGAAGGGAAAAAGGAAAGGAAGGGAAGAGAAGGGAGGGAGGGAGAAAGGAAAGGGGAAGAAATTATAGGAAATGTCTTAATTTAAACCGTTTCCATCCGGGCTGTCCCCACTTCTTAGCCAACTTTGCCCAACACGATTCTCAAGGCCACAGCTCTGATTTCACAAACAATTGATTAATTTGCATTATTTGGGGGGGGTGTCTCCCTGTTAGGATTCCAGAGCCCGGAGTGTGCCTCCGAGGCCCTCCGACTCCTCCAAGGGAGCATGTTTCGAAGCAGGAAGGCCCTCTCGTCTCCCACCTTCTTCCGGTGGGCCCGTCTGGTGAACGAAAAGGGCCAAGGAGGAGCAGAAGGGCAGGAGGAGCCGCAGCAAGTCTTGGATTTGGTGAGCCAGCCGGGGTTACGAGGGGTGCCAGACGCAGAGCGAGATTCGCAGGCCTCCCTTTTCAGCTCTGGGATGAGGGAAGCTTCATCTGAGCCTTGGGGGGCCTAGTGGTTAAAGCGCAGCGCAGGTAGTTCTCGGCTTGCGGCCACATTGGAGCCCCAAACATCTATTGCTGAGCAAGCCATTTGTGAAGTGAGTTTTGCCCCATTTGGCCGCCTTTTTTGCGATTGCTGTCTCCGGAGGAAGCCCATCCCTGGTGTTGTCGTCAATGAAATGGGTGCATTGGGTTGGCGGATTCTGGGTTCCTTGGTGGTCACTGAGCTTGGTTGTTTTCTTGCAGACGTTTCATTACCTAACTAGGTAACATCCTCAGGGCTAGAAGGGAGTGGGGTTTGCAGGGAGGAAGATTGTGGGGTCCTTGGTGCTCTCTGAGCTTGTTTTTCTTGCAGACATTTCATTACCAAACTAGGTAACATCATCAGGGCTAGAAAGAAATGGGGTTAGAGGAGGAGGAGGAACTTCTTGGTGGTCACTGAGCTTGGTTATTTTCTTGCAGACTTTTCATTGCCTAACTAGGTAACATCATCAGGGCTAGAAGGGAATGTGGTTTGCAAAGGGGAGTAAGGAGAGGAGGAGGAGGAGGAGGAGGAGGAGGAGGAGGAGGAGGAGGAGGAGAGAATTAAACCTCCAAAGGATGTCCAAGCTGTGAGGTGAATCACCCAGAAACAGGACACGCCAAAATTAAAGCTGCCACTGCAAACTTTTTCTTAGCCGGCGCATATTGTTACATCAGGCCCTGGTGTCACAACTGCACACCATTCTTCTGCAGACAGTGTGCTCCTCTGTCCAAGGCAGGGACTGTTGTTGGTGAGGAATGATGTTCACAAATATTTTCTTACCTCCAACCTGCTTACCTGACGTTTCACTACCCAACTAGGCAACATCATCAATGCTAGAAGGGCGTAGAGTTAGGGAGGAGGAGGAGGGGAGGAAGAAGAGGAAGAGAAGGAGGAGGACTTTGTGGTCTTTGATGCTCTCTGAGCTTGGTTCTTTTCTTGCAGACGTTTCATGACCCAACTAGGTAACATCATCAGGGCTAGAGGGGGAATGTGGTTTGCAAAGGGGAGTAAGGAGAAAAGGAGGAGGAGAACTGTGGGGTCCTTGGTGCCCTCTGAGCTTGGTTGTTTTCTTGCAGACCTTTCATGACCCAACTAGGTAACATCATCAGGGCTAGAAGGGAGTGGAGATTGGGAGGAAGGAGGGATTGAGTTTCTTGCACAATCCATGGCTTCCTGCATCTCTTCCTTGCTTGTTTTGCTCTGCTCGTTTCAACGAAAACACGTCTATCATTTCTGCACAGGAACTTGGCTTGACGAGAGCCATCAAGAAACTGGACCGCAGGGTCAAAACGCTCTATGAGCAGGTTCCCGAGAACAGCCTTTGCCTCGTTCTGTTACCAGGCACCGACAGGTGAAAAAAAAACAAACAGTCTTGTTATTTCCTTCCCTTTTCTTTTTCCACAGAGAAGTGTTCTTTCACCTCGGGCTCTCCGGTTGGGGATCTTTCCTTTCTCGGCGTGACGCTTAAGAGAACGATTTTGCAAACGAGGCTGGCCTCCCCTTGGCGTCTCGCCTTCGGCCTGACGCAGGTCACCTCGAGGGGGGAACTGGAGCCAGATGAATGGTTTTGCAGCTTCAGAAGGGCATCCAAGCTTATCACAGGCTTGGATGCAATAGGGAAGCCGAGTTGCTGAGGCTGTTTCTTCTCCATTCAGCCCTCTGATCCTCAGCTCAGGGGGAGGAGGAGAAAGAGACCCCATTGTGGGTCTCAGCAGGATTGCTGGCCTGTTGTTGTTGTTGTTGTTAAATGGAAGGTCTCTTGCTGGCTCTGGTCTTTATCCCCAAGCTGGCTCCAGCGCGGTTGCGATTTCTCCCGCTAAGCCATAATAAAGTTTGTGGCTTGGCACTCTCCATTGTGGCTTATTCCACCGACTGTAGTCTGGCACGTTGGGCCTTGCATGATCCTTTCCGCTTGGTGGATTTCAAGGTTTACGGTTATCAGAAAGGAAGCCCGGGACTTAATTTTCCCTAAGAGCTTTTTTTTCAGTGCTGTTGTAACTTTGAATGGTGGCTAAATGAACGGTTGTAAGCCGAGGACTGCCTCCAATTCAATGCTTAGGTTGATGCAGTTTGGGATTTTTCTGTCACTGCAATTCACTTTATCAAGGAGTCGACCCAGCGAGCACCGTTTCTTCGGGAGAAATCTTAACACCTTTTTCCTCACTTACTTTTTTTGCAGGCTCTCCAGCTCTCTTGGTGGCCTCGGCCTTTTGGGAATCAAAGGCGAAAAGAGCATTTCCACGTCCTGCTAAAAACACGTCGAGCTTCGAGCACACACACACAGCCCCCGGCCTCGCTTGAATGTCTGCAAGCTTTTCCAAGGAAATTTTTTTTAATACAGCATTAAATTATTTTTGTACAGTACCAAACAATCTCAAGAATTCAATTCCATTGTTAATGCAGGAAACGTTTTTTAAAGCTCCCTGCAGACTACCAGATGTTAGGGGAGTCTCTGGAGGGTGGAGAACAGCAGAAAAGTCAGTGGCTGGCATCCATTCAGCCACCAAGCACGACATTTTTAAAGTTTCTGTGTTATATATACATACATACATACATACATACATTTAAAAAAAGGGAGGATGAAACGGTTCAACCCCTGCGAAATTAACAGAAGGATAGAATCAAGATCACGTGAAGTGTTAATACCACTTTACAAGGCCTTGGTAAGGCCACACTTGGAATATGGCATCCAGTTTTGGTCACCACGATGTAAAAAAAGATGTTGAGACTCTAGAAAGAGTGCAGAGAAGAGCAACAAAGATGATTAGGGGACTGGAGGCTAAAACTTACAAGGAACGGTTGCTGGAATTGGGTATGTCTAGTTTAATGAAGAGAAGGACGAGGGGGGACAGGATAGCAGTCTTCCAGTATCTCAGGGGCTGCCCCAAAGAAGAGGGAGCCAAGCTATTCTCCAAAGCGCCTGAAGGCAGGACAAGAAGCAACGGATGGAAACTAATCAAGGAGAGAAGCAACCTGGAACTAAGGAGAAACTTCCTGACAGTTAGAACAATTAACCAGTGGAACAACCTGCCTCCAGAAGCGGTGAATGCTCCAATACTGAAGGTTTTCAAGAAGAGACTGGACAGCCATCTGTCTGAAATGGTACTATAGGGTTTCCTGCCTGAGCAGGGGGTTGGACTAGATAACCTTCAAGGTCCCTTCCAACTTCATTATTAGTATTAGTATTTATTGCCTATACAGGTAGTCCTTGACTTATGACTGCAATTGAGCACAATTTCTGTTACTAAGCGAGGCGGTTCTTAAGTGAATTTTGCTCCATTTTACGACCTTTCTCGCCGGCAGTGGTACAGTTAGCCAAATAGCCGTTAAGCGAATCTGGCTTCCCCATGGACTTTGCTTGTGGAGAAAGTCCCAAAAGGGGATCACGTGACCCCAGGACACCCCAACCTGTCATAAAGATGAGCCGGTGGGCCGAGGGTCCAAACTTTGAATCAGGTGACCCTGGGGAAGCTGCGACGGTCGTAAGCGTGAAAAACAAGTCAATTTGCTTTCTTCAGTGCCGTTGCAACTTTAAATGGTCACTGAATGAACTGTTGTAAATCGAGGACTAGTTGTCCATTGAACCAGCGACTGTAGCTTCAGGTTCCACAGATGATTAGATCAATCGAAGAAAAAGAGTTGGTGGGGGGAGAAAAAGCATGATAAACTTGGAAGAAACGGCAAAGAGGGCAGACTTTTTATTAACGGGCGGAGTGTGTGTGTGCGAGGGAAGGGTGAGAACATTTTGCCAGATATTCTGCTAGAAAAGGATAGGATCCAGCCATTCAGGGGGGAAATTAACCCAGGAAATTGCAGTTTATTAGAGAAAAAAAATTCATTTCAATTCAGTCTTGGCCCGTCTGTGTGGGTGACCCCAGCTGCAAAACGAAGCTTTGGGTTTACATTTTGGCCCCCTCCCCGTGACAGCTCCAAGCTATTGTCCGGACAGCAAACAATACACAAAGCAGATTGTGTATTCCTGAGGCATACCTCGCTCCTGCCCACCAGATTCCCATAATTGAGCTTTTCATAAACGTCGGTGGCATGCCCCTCCGCCGGCTAACAGGCACGCCGAGTGCATACCGTGCGGTCTGGAGGAAGTGGCCGGCTTGCCTCGGCTTTGCCCTGGAGGAAAGTGGAACCTCTGAATCACGCTTCTTGGTCAGTTTCCATTTTCTGCATAAAAGGCAAGATTTCAGCTGGAGGCTGGCAGATGAGAGGCTGCTGGAGAGGCAGAAATGCACCAAGATGGGAAATCCTGACAAATGCCGGATGGCGGTAGCTGAAGTCATCCTGTTCCCTGCTTGGCATGGAGCTGTTTGTTTGTTTTTTAAAATAAGGATGCCAAATCCTCTGCCTGTGCACAGACGACCCCCTCTCTGAAGGAGTGCAGCAAAGATCACACCAAAAGAGCCGGCTTGCCAGTAAAAGCTCAGCCCACATAACAAGCCGCGATCTTCCTAGCTCCGATGGATGACACCACGGGCCAAGTCATGCTGGATGGCTCAGGTGCCAGGTGTTTTTTTTAATGCAAATTGTTTTCTTTTGCTAACCTCAGTTTAGCATTGGGCTGGTGACAGGACACCAGAAACTGCAAGGGTATCAAAGAGAGGGCATAAATGTTGTTTTTTAATGGCACAGCAGCAGTTCCAAATTTGGATTTATTTGCAGAAATGATTTTTGCTAAAGCAAGCTGCTCGTGGCAATGGGAGTCTGCTCCCTCCAAATTCCAAGGACCCCTCCTCTTAACAGAATAGCAGAGTTGAAAGAGACCTTGGGGGTCTTCTAGTCCAACCCCCTGCTCAAGCAGGAAACTCTATACCGCTTCAGACAAAAATGTCTGAAATATTCCATGTCTTAATAATAATAACAATAATAATAAGAATAATAATAATAATAATAATAATAATAATAATAATAATAATAATAATAAAGTTGGAAGGGACCTTGGAGGTCATCTAGTCCAACCCCCTGCTCAGGCAGGAAACCCTATACCATTTCAGACAAATGGCTGTCCAGTCTCTTCTTAAAAACCTCCAGTGTTGGACCATTCACCGCCTCTGGAGGCAGGTTGTTCCATTGGTTAATTGTTCTAACTGTAAGGAAGTTTCTCCTTAGTTCCAGGTTGCTTCTCTCCTTGGTTAGTTTCCATCCGTTGCTTCTTGTCCTGCCTTCAGGGGCTTTGGAGAATAGCTTGACTCCCTCTTCTTTGGGGCAGCCCCTGAGATACTGGAAGTCTGCTATCATGTCCCCCTTCGTCCTTCTCTTCGTTAAACTAGACATACCCAATTCCAGCAACCGTTCCTTATATGCTTTAGCCTCCAGTCCCCTGATCATCTTTGTCCCCTAATCATCTTCTCAATGGCTTGATTAAGGATTGCACCTTTTTCATTTAAAATCCCTCTCTATCCTCTGGCAGTTTGGGGTGGGGATAAGACAATTTCCTGCTGTCACTTTTGCTCTAGTGCAGGGGTAGGCAATCTTGGTGACTTTTATGACTCGTGGACTTCAACTCCCAGAATTCCTGAGCCAGCATGGCTCAGCTTGGAAACCTCTCCCTTTCCCCTCAGCACAGCTGGCTCAGGAATTCTGGGAGTTGAAGTCCACGAGTCCTAAAAGAGCCAAGGTTGCCTACCCCTGCTCTAGTGGTTAAAGCACCAGGCGAGAAACCGGGAGATTGGGAATTCTAGACCCACCTCAGGCACAAAGCCAGCTGGGAGACCGTACGCCAGTCATTCTTTCTCAGCCCTAGGAAAGGAACAATGGCAAAGCATTTCTGAAAAACCTTGCCAAGAAAACTGGAGGGACGTGTAGAAGCCGCTGCCAGGCGCCCAAAACTGACTCAGTGGCATGGACACACAAACACTGCCTGTGACCCTGGGCCTATAACCAACACACCTAGATCAGTTGACTATAATTCCCACTGCCAAATGCCGAGCTTGTTGGGGGAAAACAGTTCATCCCCAGCCTGAGCTGAGTAAACCTTGAGAAAACCTGACTTTGAATCCTGCATTCGCTGTAAATGGAGGATCCATTGTTGGGAGGCCAGTTCTCAACTTTTTAACCTGCCTCTTAAAGCTCAAACCAATGGAAAACCGGCACACACAAACACACAAGGGAAGGTGTGCTTGGGCTCATGGTGGGAGGGAGTCGGACAGAAATAAAATTCAACATTCCACGGCTGCAGAACGCAAAAGCAGCTGAAGGAAAACACAGCAGCTCTATCTAGAAACCTTGGAAGTGTTAAAAACACCCCAAATGGCTGTATCCCATCTCTGTGCTTGTGTGTATGTGTGTGTGTGGGGGGGAGTGTGTGCCTCTTGCACACCTTCCTTTTCCTTGGAAGAGAGGCTGGAGTTTAGTCACCATCCACTTACTCTTCCCAGGGGTGTTTTAGCAGCTGATAAGAATTTAATGCGATTCCCGTTAATCTTCCCCTCCGAGGTCTCAGCAGAGCGGTGAAAAAATTTATATTAAGGGATCCATTTACCCGGGACCTCCTGGGAACGCCGTCCTTGCAACCGCCTGGTAATTACAAGGTTATAGAAGGGAGCATTGATTACATACACCCGCCTTTTTAATTAATGCCATTTTAATTAAATTAAGTTCCGCCTGGCCCAACAGACCTGCTGGGGGAGGGAAGGCCTCCTGGCTTCAAACAGTGGTAAACCTGGGCTTCAAGAAAGGTAACACACCTGAAAAATCTCTCTCCCTCTCCCTCTCTCTCTCATACACACACACACAAGCTGAGTCTCACTCCAACCAAGGAGAGAACCACACTGCCATCAACACTGGCAGAGCGGGCTCCCATATGTAAATAAACAGGGAGCAAACCCCACACTCTGCTAGCGCTGATGATGCTACCTAGTTGGGTACTGAAACGTCTGCCAGCGAACAGCCACGCTCAGAGAGCACCAAGGACCTCACAGGTTTTGTTTTCAGTTTCCAGAGCCAGGAAAGTCTATCCTAAAACTTTTTCTTGTATTTTAATTTAAAACCATTGCACGCACGTCCACTTACAACACCCTGGGCCCTTTTGGACAGCCGATTAAAACGCAATTTTGCAGGGAAGGAAGAGGAAGATGGCACAAGAGCCAAATGAGGAAAGGCAGAGACTTTCCACCCGAGCCTCACGCTGCCATCCCCATCAAATTACTAGGAATCTTTAAAAAAAACCAAAAAAAAAAAACACCTGAGTGTCAAACACCAAACTCTGCAGGATATGTTTAGCGAAGCTCAAACGTGCACCTCTCTCCAGGTGGCCAAGACACACTGGTGCATTTGGTAAAACAGAGCAGGAGGGTGTGTGTGTGTGTGTGTGTATACGTATGTAGGTATATATATATGTATGTATGTATGTATATATATGTATACACATACACACAGAGATAGACAGACATGATAATATGATAGACATGATAGACAGACAGACAGACAGACAGACACAGACATGATAGGTAGGTAAGTAGGTAGATAGACAGACAGACACAGACATGATATGATAGACATGATAATATGATAGAAATGATAATATGAGATAGGTAGGTAGATAGATAGACACAGACATGATATGTAGGTAGGTAGGTAGGTAGATAGATACAGACATGATATGTAGGTAAGTAGGTAGATAGACACACAGACAGACACAGACATGATAGAAATGATAATATGAGATAGGTAGGTAGGTAGATAAATACAGACATGATATGATAGACATGATAATATGATAGAAATGATAATATGAGGTAGGTAGGTAGGCAGGCAGGCAGGCAGGCAGGCAGGTAGACAGACAGACAGACAGATAACCTGCTCTGTTTTATATATATATAAATATAATAAACAATCTACATTATGCTACTATTTCAGCAGGTCTGGAAGCCAAGAGACAAGTCGGCTAAATGTGGTAAGAAGAAGAGGAACTGAAAGGGCGCCAGTTCAATGCTGAGACTGACGCAGATGTGGAAAGAGGATCCACTTTGCAACAAAACAGAAGATGACCCGAAAGCTCTTTAGTATGACCTTCGGGTCTGGAGAAAAGAAAGTCTGGGATGACAGGATAGCACTGTTCCAATATCTCAGGGGTTGCCCCAAAGAAGAGGGAGTCAAGCTCTTCTCCAAAGCACCAGAAGGCAGGATAAGAAGCAACGGATGGAAACTAACCAAGGAGAGAAGCAACCTAGAACTAAGGAGAAACTTCCTGACAGTTAGAACAATTAGCCAGTGGAACGGCTTGCCTCCAGAAGTTGTGGATGCTCCTATCAGTGGAGGTTTTCAAGGAGAGACATTTCAGCCCTTTGTCTGAAATGAGGTAGGGTTTCCTACTTGAGCAGGGGGTTGGACTAGAAGACCTCCAATGCCCCTTCCAACTCTTGTTATTCTGTTCTTCAAAGCAAGAACTTTGCTCAGACCTCAAAACGGGAGCTCGGAATCACGCTGCGGAGAAACAGGAGAAACAGGACCTCTCGTAGTGCTGGTGCAATTTTGGAAAAAGAACTTTAATGCAGTCGTTAAAAGAAACACAAAGGGGTGCCACTCTCTGCTCTCAGCCGCTGAGAGAGGATGTGAATTTCAAGTATTTGTTTATTAGAAACCATTCTCTTTCCCACCCACCCAGCTGTTAGCAAATTAAAACCTCAAAAGAGTTTTGCCTGCATTCTGATGGAATTTAGTCATCAGGTTCATTGCTTTGAATGAGATCATTAAGGATATTCCCAAGCCTGTTGTATGAAGATAGTTTCTTTAGCAAACAGGAAGGTGTTGTTGTTTTTTTGCTCCCCCTCCTCACCTACTGTCTTGGTGGGGCAGACAATTCTGGGTAAACAAGCAACAATCCCCCCCACTATTTCGAACCATTCAAGCTGCCAAGAAATGTACACTATCTTCTTAGAGTCCAAGGCAGGGGTAGGCAACCTTGGCGACTTTCATGACTCGTGGACTTCAACTCCCAGAATTCCTGAGCCCTCATGGCTCAGCTTGGAAACCTCTCCCTTTCCCCTCAGCACGGCTGGCTCAGGAATTCTGGGAGTTGAAGTCCACGAGTCATAAAGCGGCCTAGGCCTAGGGCAGGGGTGGGCATCCTTGGCTCTTTTATGACTGGTGGACTTCAACTCCCAGAATTCCTGAGCCAGCCTGGCTCAGCTTGGAAACCTCTCCCTTTCCCCTCAGCGTGGCTGGCTCAGGAATTCTGGGAGTTGAAGTCCACGGGTCATGAAAGAGCCAAGGTTGCCTACCCTTGGTCTAAGGCCAGTGATTTTTTTCAGCCTTAGCAACTTTAGAGATGTGTGGACTTCAATTCCCAGAATTCCCCATGCTGGCTGGGGAATTCTGGGAGTTGAAGTCCACAAGTCTTAAAAGTCACCCAGATTGAGAGCAGTTGTTCTTCGAGATCTCGCTGACCTGCCACAGCCAATTTTTTGTCCCCCCCTCCCAAATATTCAAGATGACAATGCCAACATTTGGTAGTTAACTGTCCCCTTTGGTTTTTCTTTCAGAGGGAGGGGGGTACAAATCAGAGAAAAACGGTGACAACCGAAAGGGTCTCCCTGTTTTAGGGGGGGGGGAGCCCTCTTTATTCTCCTTATTTGGGCTGGACATTTCTATGTGAAAAGCCTTACAGCAGAGTTTCCCAACCTTGGCGATTTTAAGATCGCTTGGACTTCAACTCCCAGGATTCCACGCTGGCTGGGGAATTCTGGGAACTGAAGTCCACAAGTCTTAAAGTTGCCAAGTATGGGGAAATCCTGCCTTACTAGCTTAACTTGGAAAGTGAGCAAACAGAGGATAATTTGAAGGGAGAAGGGACCCACTGCAAATTCTCACCTTCTTTGAGAATCTCGGGTGTTACTGCTCTACTGTTGTGGCTGATGACCAAAAAAGGTTGATCAAATGACCTGCTGGCAGGCAGGACCGGTGTATATATATCCCCTTCTGCCTAGATGCTAACTTCACAACCAAAATCAGCCCTGCTACAAATCAACCACAACAACAACAGTACAATGCTGCTTTCATTGGCTTTCAACATAAGTTTTGTTGGCCTGGGAATTCTGAACGCATTTGTCCTTAACAGTTCACACTGTTATCAACCGTGGTATAAATCTTAAAATTATCACAACCTTAAAAAAAAAAAAAAAAGTCAACCGTGTAAACAGCACTACACACAGTATAGGCCTGCTCTGTTTTGTTTTGTTTTTTTTAAAGAAAAAGGAAAAAAAATACGCAGAACTTCAGTCTGGCACTGTAATAATTTAGTGATGTTAATTTAACCTCACCAGGGGGGGGAGAAAAAAGGAGAGAGAAAAAAAATAATACATTTCTTTTTCTTTGAAAGTTGTGGTGCCTGGGGCAAAGAAGAAGTATACCGGTCTGAAGCCGTTTTTGAAATAAAAACCATTTAACTCGCATTTAACCAGAGGGGAGGGGAGGGGAGGGAAGAAGGAAACAGGTCGAGGAGAGAAGAAAGAGGACTAAACCCATTTTTTAAGGAAAGTGCCTAAAATATGGATACAGCATTTTAAAGCCCTTTCGAAATACAAGGCAGAGAAAGGTGTAAAGTAGAAAAAAATCTGGAGAAAGTTCTGTAAATTCCAGAGGAGTTCTGAGCTTATGGGCCATGAGGGGGGGCTGAACCGGGGGGGGGGGGAACTGCCGCTGCTGAAAACTGTTAGGCCGCGTGATGGTCTGTACACGGGGACCCTGTCTGTAAGTCCTCCAGGCGCGTGGGACCCTCCTCTTCCTCCCTCTTCCTCCGTCTCTCCGTTTCCCATTCCACAAAAGTGTCAAAGAGACTGGGCCACGCCTCGTCCTCGCTGTAATTGCTGAGGTCCGGCCCGATGACCTGAGTAAAATTAAGGAACATGTTCCAGGTGTCTCGGGAGATCCCCTTGATACCCGAAGGGTTCTCGGTCAAGAAGTGCAACCACTGGTCCAAAATGGGAGGCTTGTTCTGGGTGAACACCAGCTTCCAGAGAGCGATGGCTATTTCCCGGTGGAGTGACCGCTGGCCTTCGTCCGAGTCCAGGCCGAACTGGAACGTGAACCGGTAGAGGTCTTTGAACTTGTCTTCTTGCTTGGCTTCGGTCAGGAGGCCGGGAAACCGGGCGCAAATCCCATCGATGCAGTCTGCCTTTATTGCTTTACAACCCTCAAAGAACTCCGTCCTGTGGGCAGGGAGGAAAGAGGCCAGTTAAGCACTGATTTATTTTTTTTCCAAATTTGATTCAGGGCTCTGAAGTTTTGCTCTTGGTCTCAAGACAGCAGTGAAGTGGTTCTCGCCACCAAGAATATTTCTGTTCCAAAGAATGAGAGGCATCACTGGGTCTGCTGCTTCAGCAGGAGGCTAAACTAGAAGACCTCCACGGTCTCTTTCAACTCTTATCCCTGTAATCTATTCCTTCGCCATTGGATCTGCCTGGCCTTGAGTTCTCCTTGCTTTCCAAAACCTGCTTCCTCCTAAGAAGCACCCTGGTTCTCCAGGCATAGATGAGCATCAGCCAAGGATTTAGCTCCTCAAATTCTTGTGCCTTTCCAAATTCCCATCCACAACTCTCTACTTCTTGGCCTACGTATTCCCTCGCTCCTCCATTTTTCTCTTCTCTCGACCAAGGGGTCAACTTTGGCCCAACCATCACCACCATCCCACCCATTGTGCTGGCCTCTATTAGCCTCAGAAAACAGAAGGAGAATGTGGCCTTTAAAGACAGGTGGGGATTTTTTAAGTTGCCAGGGGACACACTTCATTTTTTCTAGGAACATTATGAGATTGTACAATTTTGCAAAGGACATAAGGGGTGTGTCAAGGAAATGGGTGGAGCCAGGCTTTTCTGCATTTCCCTAAAGTTTGGCAGGGGACATGTTTTGCCACTTACATTTCCCAAGTTTTTCCCTGTCTCCTCGACTTTCTCGAAACCGGTGGAGAGGTCTCCGGAGTCCAGGCAGCCGCCCCCCCCCCCCGGTTTCTGATAGCACGCAGGACTTACCGTGTGAATTTGCACATAGTAGCCGCCTGGAATTTCCAAGCCAGCACGAGCACTTTGAATTCCGTGGGGTCAACACAGAGGTCGTTGCAAAAACGCTCCATGCCTTCCTCCAATATGGCGTCTTCTCGCTCGTCCTTGTATCTCCTGAACAATTCCTCAGTTCTGTGGAGGAACGATTCCTCGGAGCCCGAGACGGGCTCCTTCCGGGCATCTCCAGAGGAAGTGGGAGGCTGGTTGGATTCTATAGCAGCATCTACCTTCTTCGTCCCGTTGACCAGAATATCTCCAGAGGGTTTCCTGCCAACCAGGCTAAGTTCCTCCTTGTGATTGGTGCTCCGCTTCCCGTGAGCTTTGCCGTGGGCCTCCCGGTCGCCATTTTTGCTACCCAGAGTGGAAGAAGGATTCTTGCACTTGGTGACGCACTGGCCCATATTGTAGCGCGCCCACTGGTTAGAGCAGCCCCCACGCCGTCACACGCCTGCCCCGCTGGTGCTGCCTGGGCCTCTGCATGCTCTCAGTTGTAATCAGCCAGCCTGGAAGAAAGGATCAATCAACTAAGGATTTGAAGCAGCAACGTTCTGCTTGAAAAATGAAAAAAAAAAGGGTGTAGACCAGGGTCGTCCAACTTTGACAACTTTAAGATCTGTGGACTTCAACTCCCATAATTCCCCAACTAGTCCCAGTTAAATCAACATTGGTTGAAGCGGCCAGGGATAACATGGTCTATATCAGGAGTAGGCAACCTTGGCTCTTTTATGACTCGTGGACTTCAACTCTCAGAATTCCTGAGCCAGCATGGCTCAGCTTGGAAACCTCTCCCTTTCCCCTCAGCATGGCTGGCTCAGGAATTCTGGGAGTTGAAGTCCACCAGTCATAAAAGAGCCAAGGTTGCCTACCCCTGGTCTATATTATCGAGGGGAGGGGCTGTGGACCTCCAGATATCGCTGAATTATAAATTCCAGTACATTTTCTCGCTGGCTGTGTGGGCTACGACAGCTGGGCATTGTAGTTCAGCAACCATGCTGGAGGACTGCAAGTTTCCCAACCCTGGTCTCGGCTGAGCTACCATGAAAAAAAAGCTTCAACAGACAGAAGACAACGGTCCATCTTCTGGGAAACGGAGGAAGCATCCTTAAGAGCCAGCATCGTACAACGTGGACATCTTTGTTCCTCCCAAGGGGTTCCAGAATACATCCCAAAGCCCGCCTCTTCCTCCTCTAGGCCAGCTAAAACTCAGTTCTGCCAGGAGAGATCCCTAATTTCTCTCTGCAGGTGCCGAGGGCGTATCAGGAAAGCTTCCACGAAGCTCTGTTGGCTGACATTCTGGAAATTACAGTCTGCCAGGATGGCGAGGCTGAGTGACAAGCTAAGCCACCGACTGTCGTGGCTTTAAAAGGGATGCGAGATTGACACAGACAATATAGCTATCAATAGATACTAGTCACAATGGCGATGTGCTTTCTTGGTATCAGGAGCAGCATCTCTCTCCATACTAGTTGCTAGGGAACAGGGGGGGGAAGGAGGCCCCTGGTGCGCTGGTACCCTGCCCATGCGCTTCCCAGAGGCATCTAGCTGGCTGTGGTGGGAAGATAATGAATTAAACAGAGCCTAATCCAGCTGGGTTTCACTTACGGGGAAGAGAATAGATACAATGAGGAAGGTGCCATAATGCGAGCATTAACTGTGCCCTACAGCTTCACAAAGCATGGATTCATGGCCTGGGGGCCCGGTTACTCGCGGGACTGTCTCTGTCTGGTTCTATCTCCCTGTCATGTGAGATCCAGCAGAAGAGGCATGCTCCAGGCCCCATCCATCAGGGAAGGTCATCTGGCAGGGTCCCAGAGGAGAGCCACTTCTGGGAAAGTCATTCCCCCAGGGATCAGTCTCAATAAAGAATATTTGCAGCTCAGGGTTCAAATGAGGGGCCCTTGGTGCTTTCTGAGCTTGGTTGCTTCCTTGCAGACGTTTCACGACTCAAACTAGGTAACAGCATCGATGCTAGATGCTAGACAGCCACTTGTCTGAGATGGTAGAGGTCAGGGGTCTTCAAGCGTGGCCCTTTTGTGACTTGTGGACTTCAACTCCCAGAATTCCTCAGCCAGCGTGCCTGCCGAAAGAATTCTGGGAGTTGAAGTCCACAAGTCATAAAAGGGCCAAGTTTGAAGACCCTGGTATAGATTCTCCTGCTCAAGCAGGGGGCTGGACTAGAAGAACTCCAAGGTCCCTTCCAGCTCTACTCTACTCTACTCTACTCTACTCTACTCTCTACTCTACCCTACCCTACCCTACTCCACTCTCCATTCTCCACTCTCCACTCCACTCTATATACTATCCTATATTCTATTCTATTCTGTTCCATTCCATTCCATTCCGTAATTCTATTCTATTCTATTCTATTCTATTCTATTCTATTCTATTCTATTCTATTCTATTCTACTTCTATTCTACTTCTATTCCTATTATTCCTATTCTATTCCATTCCATTCCATTTTAGAACCGAGCGCGGCTTATGGATAGGAGGAGAAGGGGGGGACTGTGGGGTCCTTGGTGCTTTCTGAGCTTCATGGTTTTCTTGGAGACATTTCATTACCCAACCAGGTAACAGCATCAGAGCATTCTGATGATGTTACTTAGAGGGATCGACTGTCTTATTTTATTGGGATGAACATTAAAAACTGACACGAGGGGTATCAAGGTTCACTTTAATTTCTGAGTGTTCCTAACTACTTGGTCCAAAAACAAGAAGATATGGACGTCCTCTGCAGCCCCCCCGTCCGATTTCCATCAACTTCAGGTAGCATGGCCAAAAACTGGATGCAGCCATCACTGTACTACGATGGACTACACCAACTTACTTAAATGCCCCCCAAAACAAACACAACTTACATGATATCCTACAAAGAACAGGAAGGCATTGCACCATTTAGGCTGACTCTCCTCCCAAGGGAACAGATGTCTTTTGGATGGCTGTGGAAACAAAAATAAAAGGACTCAGAAAACCGCGGAGAGAAAAAATTCTAGCAATGGCATACATTAAAAACAAAATTAACCAGTAGCCACGTCTAAAGAGGCTGGTTGTAAAAAGGACCAGCTACATTTTACAAGACCATCAACACTTACACTATCACGATCGTACGTTTTCCAGCTGTTAGCAGACACTGAGTGGCATTAAAGCAGGGGTGTCCATGCTGGCTGGGGAATTCTGGGAGTTGAAGTCCACACGTCTTAAAAGTTGCCAAGGCTGGACACCCCTGCATTAGAGCGTTTTCATAGCCCATCTATTCTAGACCAACTTAAGAGGTTTTATAGTATTGTTGGAATATAATTTGATCTGTTTAGAACAGAGGTCCCCAACCTTTGGGGCACCAGGGACCGGTTCCGTGGAGAGAGGTTTTTCCGCGGACCAGAGGGGGACGTGGTTTTGTGTGCTGCCTGCATCTCGCGGATGGGGCTTTGCTTGTTTGCACGGACTGGATGCTGGCATGCCGCGGCCCGGTACTGGTCCACGGACCAGGGGTTGGGGACCCCTGCTTTAGAACATGGGTGCTCAACTTTCTAGTGGGGAGGGGGAACTCAAGGAGAGATGACTCTCTCGGTTTCTTTTTCTTTGCATTTGTCATTCAGCCCTCCCCACCACTGTGTTCCATCTTTCTATGTAATTATATGGATACGTTAACATGCAGCTCATTGCAGCTCAAAGAAACCTCGACAACTCATGACACAATACACCCTAACGCTGCCATGTGCTATTTTAAAAACCACACACGCTCTTAGAGCCAGCTTTGTGCCAAACACATTATCTTGGAAACTTCCGAAAAGAGGAAGCGATGGAGAGAACGAATAACGATGCTGTTGACCATATTGATTTGGGGGAACACAAATCTGGTAGGTCCTTTCTGGAAGACAGACTCAAGAAATCCCTCTTTACATACAACACACAAGGTCCATATGACACATGCTGTTCTCTTCCCCCCCCCCCCAGCCTGCCTTGGGTGCAGCTTGCTTCCTTATGTCCCCGGTGCCAGTAAGAGGCACATCTGTTGTTAACAGACAACAGACAACTCTCCGGGACTATTTTGGATTCTGTTGTGCTGCAAATTGTTCTGTAATCAGGTGGCACGGTAGCCCTGACGACACTCAGCCATAAATAGCTAGGAGAAGGAAGAAGAAGAGCAGAACGAAAGAAAAAAAAGAGGATCTATGTTTCCAAAAATATTGGAGAAGATGTAGTTTTTCACTTCGGGAAAAAAGTTTTTTTAGAAAGAAAGAAAGAAAGAAAGAAAGAAAGAAAGAAAGAAAGAAAGAAAGAAAGAAAGAAAGAAAGAAAGAAAGAAAGAAAGAAAGAAAGAAAGAAAGAAAGAAAGAAAGAAAGAAAGATAGATATTGGAGAAGATGTAGTTTTTCACTTCGGAAAAAAAGTTTTTTTTTAGAAAGAAAGAAAGAAAGAAAGAAAGAAAGAAAGAAAGAAAGAAGGAAGGAAGGAAGGAAGGAAGGAAGGAAGGAAGGAAGGAAGGAAGGAAGGAAGGAAGGAAGGAAGGAAGGAAGACCACAATCAAACTTGAAACTCTTTTTCTATTAATTTGGACTGTCACTAAACGAACTGTTTTAAGTTGAGAACTACCTATCTCCTCGTGAAAATATGTTTGGGAGTGAGATGCAGTCTTTGGTTTGAGAATTGCCACTCCTGGAAGAAGAAAAAAAAATGTTGCTAGAAAGAGTGAAGGAAGAGGAATTGCAAACCAGCTGGGGAAGGTTCAAATCCCCGTGACTCATGATGGTTCACATGAAAATTTCAGCATGCATGGCAGACAAGTCCAGACTTGCAAAAAAATTAATAATAATATAAAAAAAACCCCGACAACGATCTGAGGTTTCCTGGTGGATGATCATCTATGTTTTTCTCATTCATTTTTGACAGTGAAAGCTTTACTGGAATTCTTCGAACACAATCTGCTACAATATTTGGGCGAGAAAGTCAGAAAATATGAGACCTGCCAAGCAAGGTAGCTCAACTTTCTACAGCCACCTTAACACCTGTGGACTTCAACTCCCAGAATTCCCCAGCCAGCCATGCTGGCTGGGGAATTCTGGGAGTTGAAGTCCATGGTTGGAGACCCCCGCTGGAGTGTGATATCAAAACAGGACTTTCTCTCCATCTGTGGTATTCAAATATTTCTCTCCTCTTGAGTTTCCGTTAATGAATGAATGGAGATCCAGGACCATCATCTCCAGCAGGGCCAAGAACCATGGGTTGGGGGAATTCTGGGAGTTAACGTCCATGGTTGCTGGCTGGGGAATTCTGGGAGTTGAAGTCCATGGTTGGAGACCTCCACTGGAGTGTGATATCAAAACAGGATTTTCTCTCCATCTGTGGTATTCAAATATTTCTCTCCTCTTGAGTTTCCATTAATGAATGGAGAACCAGGACCATCATCTTTAACAGGACCAGAACTAAGGGCTGGGGGAATTCTGGGAGTTGACATCCACAAGTCTTTCAAATTACCAAGGTTGGACACCCCTGCTCTACAGCCTGGAGGAGATTGTCCAAGGAACCCCAGCTCAATTGACCCATCCATCCATCTCTCTCCATCCCTACGGTTCTCCTTTTGACTCAATCTAACAACCCTTTATAGCAGGGGTCTTCAAACTTGGCCCTTTTATGACTTGTGGACTTCAACTCCCACATTTCATCTTTGCAGACCACAGGATCCGCGGACCACAGATTGAGAACCACTGGCGTACCGTATTCTCAAAAACTTTGAGAAATATAGTTATAGATCAGTGAGAAAGTCGATTCCTTCTCTGAACACACAAGAGCAGGGGTCTTCAAACTTGGCCCTTTTATGACTTGTGGACTTCAACTCCCAGAATTCCTCAGCCACAAGTCACAAAAGGGCCAAGTTTGAAGACCCCTGCTTTATAGAAAGCTGCTCTGAAACTCCAAAGGCAGTCTTTTGTAGAATGTTTGTGCAAGATTCACAAAGGAAGGGGGGGCGGGAAAAGAAGATTAACCACAAGAGATTGCTCAATCCAATACTCAGGAAGGCGAGGGACTGCTCATAAAACCAACTGTTCCTCTCCTGACCTGCATCCCTTGCAGCATCCGGCAACCAGGGTATAATCCGATGCCATCTGTGCCTAATGCAGGCCTAACTGGGTTATGCTCAATTTTGGAACGTTTACAATTGCAAACATCACGTTTATGATTTATTTATTTTTACTGCAGAGGTATACCGCCATTGAGATAAGACTACATATTTGACAAATAAATTAGCAAAACGTTTTTCGAAGTATAAGGTTCGGTTCAACCGGGGGAGTGAGTACACGTAACTTCTGTGGCAATACAGAAATGACTGCATCCAGTTTTGGTCACCACGATGTAAAAAAGATGTTGAGACTCTAGAAAGAGTGCAGAGAAGAGCAACAAAGAGGATCAGGGGACTGGAGGCTAAAACATACAAGAATGGTTGCTGGAATTGGGTCTTTCTAGTTTAATGAAGAGAAGGACGAGGGGGGACATGATAGTAGCCTTCCAATCTCTCAGGAGTCGCTCCAAAGAAGAGGCAGTCAAGCTATTCTCCAAAGCACCAGAAGGCAGGACAAGAAGCAACGGATGGAAACTAATCAAGGAGAGAAGCAACCTAGAACTAAGGAGAAACTTCCTGACAGTCAGAACAATTAACCAGTGGAACAACCTGCCTCCAGAAGCGGTGAATGCTCCAACACTGGAAGTTTTTAAGAAGAGACTGGACAGCCATTTGTCTGAAATGGTATAGGG